GTCTAGGGTTTGGGGCTTAGGTTCATGATCTCCTTGCTCGGGGTCCGTAGGGAAGAATGGAATGTAGTCCCTACACTACATAATCCTCATGTGATATGTGCCCTTATTCCCTATTAAGCACCAGTCAGCTTCATGGGGAGATGTTCAAGGGGTTTGAGAGAGTTGGGGTTCAGTGGTTCACGGTTGCTTGGGCGGGGGGTTCGAGGTTTAGCGGGTTTCTTGGGGAATTCTGGACTCAGGATCTAGGGGTCCCATACATGATTGAAATGGGAACTGCAAAGCAGCAGAATGTTGTATTCTGGAGTGCGTCCTTTTTCGAGCTTCCGAATCGTCTGAAGTTTGGGTTATTGTGTTTTGGGGGCTTTAGGCTGAGAATCAGAGTCTGGGGGTCTTGCGTCCTGCGTCTCCAGGGAACTTAGACTGGGAAGTGAGTAGCTCTTTCACCTTCTGTATGTGTGTATATATATAACACATAACTGCACACATAATTGCGTTGCATACGTTCTTTCTGGTTCCATTCGCTTCCTGCTTGACGTACCTGAGATTCACGCTTCCTGAGCTCTGACCCGATGTCACATCATCCCCTCATCAAGACAAGGGTCCCTGTAGAGGAATTTGGAGGGTCACCTCCGTGTGAATGTCAACCAACCAACCTTGACCTTCGAAGCTTCAGTGCTGCGACCTCAGACATCCTCTTGCAAGCAGGAAGCCGAGGAATCTCCAGGGCCCTTGGTGGCCAGTACTGATAGTTGCAGAAATCCCTATGCATAGCTTCTTTCATTCCGGCGCCATTTAACTGTAGCTTTAGTAAAGCTTGCTACCCTTTGTTTACAAGCCGCGTGTTCATAAACGGGTTCATTTCAATGATCTGGCTTTGTCCTGAGGACGTGCGCGCTTCTGGATCTTCTGCCGCTCGTCCTTCGAGGGCTTCCGAGAGTAGGGACTGAGGTGTGTTGAGGCTTCAGGGGTGTATTGGTCTTATGTGGGGGGTTATTTAGGCTACTGTGCTTTGGCTTTCATATGGGTTTTTGGCGTTGCTGACTGCCTTGCTTTTGTACCGGGAAGTCGTGGACAGGGAGTATTACGCAGACAGTAGTCTGGTTTGGGGGCCCTTGATGGCCGTCCTGGTTACAAAGCAGACCTACGACGCCATGAGGGTTTAAGCTCATAATTTCAGGAGTATGCCAGAGCTCATACAGTACAGGGCCCCCAAAGAGGCAGACTTTGTAATCATGCATACATGCACAGATTCGGGTACATGACACAGACTCAGCTCTGTGCAGAGATGTATGATGTATACATACCCCTGGCAGGCCAATTCCTTGAGTATGATGTGCTGGGCTCCTTATGGACAAATCTCAAATGATTCGGGCTTCTCCGGAGGGAAGAGAATGGAGGTACAACGTTACGGGTACAATCCTTCACGCGGAGGCAGCATTCTGTGGATTTCCGAACCAGGGCTACCGAGCTCCCAGCTGCGCTCCAGGCGCTGAAGGGGTTCTACGCTTCAGGGTAGCTAAGGGTTTCGGGTTAGAGGCCTTCGGTTTAGGGCATAGGGTGCATGGCTTCAGAGCGGTGAGGATGGCCTTTCATGCCTGGAATTTCTGAAAAATACCACAAGATTGAAGGCCATTCGTGACCCCAACCGGACTGTTGCATGGCTGTTGCCCACCACACAACTTGGACTAGTTCAAGCTGCATTTGTGTATTTTTAAGCATTACTTTTGGGCTACATGCCTGGAATAGTAGTGGTCCCGGCCTGCAATCAAAAGGAAGGGGGACAGGGGTTATATAATATAAGGGTTATATGGGGTATGTATATAGGGTTAAGGTTGTCAGTTTGAGGGCTTCTTGTCTAGCAGAGCGAGGTGCATTGTAGATCATGCAGGACTATAGGACGATGTACGATTTGGGCTTGGGGTTGAGAGTTTAGTATTCCTGTCTTGAATCAGTGTCATTCAGGTGCTGGGCCAAGAGGATCATCCTTAGTCCAGTTCTTTTGCACGCGGAGCATAATTACAGGGGGGAAATGGGCTGTCATGTTTTGTGCAGGGGAGTACACTGTGTAGTCATGCCCTCGCATATTAAAGCCTAGGATCTCGCAACCGTTCTCACTTATTCTATGCCCCGTGCTCGCGGCAGATTTTGTCGGCGTCTGAACAATCACGAAGCAAATGCTGGGAACTTCCAGGCAAAATAGAGTATGGTCAGCTTGGCAAAGCCATCTGAATCCTAAATCCTCATTTTCCGCGACATGGCTGCATGTACAAGTTCGGCACAACCGTCTTTTTTGTCAACTGAGTGTAGATTTTAGCAGCGGAGCTGGGTGGTACCGGTAGTAGGACATAGCATCCTTAAGCCTTTTAGAGATTGCTAGCTGCTTCATCACACCAGGCATAGGACCCAGGTAGGCTTTGGGGTGATTGGGGGTGTTTGCGGCATATCCTGTCTGTCAGAACTTGTACATTTGAGCATGTTGCTGTACACTTGGGTGAAGCTCGAAGGCAGGAGGCTGAAGGCTGAAGGTCTGTATGGGTTCCATGGATGCTCTCCTATGATGTGACCATGTAAGTGGTGGTCTTTCTCTGGAGGTTCTAGCAGCAAGGATTTGGTATGTCTAAATTCATCTCTTAAAGCTTCATTCAGAAGCCTTTGCTTGACCTGCAGGCTGCCTCAGAAATCTCAGAGCTTCCTTACTGAGACCTGCTCATAGATGTTCAGCATACGCGTGTACGTATTTTATGGTTATTTATGTGCCCGTGCGTGGCATGCACGTTTCCCCCCTGTATTCAAGCATGTGTGATTCTACGTCAACATGTCCATGACCTAGCTGAGTCGTATGTATATTCGTCAAAGCCTGCAGATAGAGTTATTGAACATGCTGCGCAATGCATAGATCTATCTCTGCACGCGGCGAAGGACTGGGCCACCACCTTCACCGTGGTTGGCAACGCAGGAGCGCTTTTTCCGGTTTATGGGCTCTGTTTTTGTAAGCTTTCGGTCCTGGATTTGCATTTAGGGGTTGGGGATTCAATAAGTTCCGGAGGTGGACGAGGGCTTGCCATCAACGCAGTGTCCCATTATGCCCCATTCTTGTGATCCCTTATGATGTTGGATCCTCATGTCAAAAAAAGTTCTAGTTCTTAGCAGGGCATAGGGGAATATATTAAAGGGGACTATACGCGGTTAGATTCCCTTTTTCCCTACTCAGAACCAGTAAGAGAAAGGGGCCCTGGTTGCGAGAAAGACCCACACAGCGGGATCGGCAGGTTTTGGAAACGCTCACGGGACAGTTGATCTACATACAGTCCCCCGTAAGTAGATTGAATATGGAAGTGCCCAATACCATAGTGAGATCCCCAAAAGCCCCATATTCTATTTATTTAAGGAGGGTTTAATATCTGTTCCCAAAGTGGCAGGTAATCTTACTGGTGGTTAGTAGGGAAGAAGGACATATATTATATTTGGGTTATGTAGGGATTATATGCCCTTCTTCCCTACTAGCCAGCAGTAAGTCTTTCCGTGTATCCGTGCATGTGACATTCGCGACAGCATTCCAAAACAGGCATTTGCCGGCAAGGCCTTAGAAACAGGACCCCAAGCCCCTTATTTCCAAGCTCCTCACAACTTACCTTCGTTGTTGTTAAAGAGCTTCAATTAAGTAACCATAGGTATATAGTAAATAACAGGGCTTCCTTACTATATGGTAATTCAATTTAAACTCCTTAACGGCAACCCAGTTAAGCGTGGTCAGTAGAGATGGAGGAATCAATCCTTCGAGTAGTCCTGAAACATAGATCCCCAAAGTCTTCCCCACATCCCATTCCTTCGGTCCCCATGATCATTAAGAACCAGTACGACAAGTGGGCCGGGCCCCTTCCTGATTCATCCCTGGAGTTGACCCCATGATATTATGCTGCACACGCACACTATATCACGGCCCACAAATCTTGCAAAATATTGAAATTGCTTAGACAGTACCCATTCCAAGGCGTCCTATGTGTGAATGTTCTAGCGACGGTATCCAAATCTTACACCTTAGCGCAGAAATACTTAGCCTTAAGGCTTGCTGAAGGGGTATACAACTGCAGTTTCTCCTCTTTCATTTTCTATTTGTTCGACCGTAATGCTATTAATCCAGGTCTCTGCATTACCCCGTTTCACAAGCCTCGAATCCCCTAAACTAAAAAAGCTACACTCGTGAAACCCTCAATGCCTGAAGTCCTCAACCCCAAACCACAAACCCTAAAGGCCTGGACCCTCTAAGCAAGAAGACCAATGGGAGGGCTAAGTTCCACCCGCAGGACGCGGCGTGAACGCCAGCCTCCCGATGGAATCGATTCAGGCTGCCACAATTTTCTTTGTGGCGTTCATAGGTTTTTAAGGGCTGGGGCTTCAGCCTCTGCAGGATTTGGTCCTAGGTCTTGGGGGCCCGGCAGCCCCCGAAGCATTATGAAGGTTTCCAAAATTCAGGCGTCACTGTTTGGGATTGACCGTAGACTAGAAAGGGTTTACAAGTATGTTGTCGTCTACATTATGGGGATCGAAAGTACCATATCCTATGTAATCCACACTACGACGTACACTATCCCTACAGCACCCCCCCAAAATCGCCTCAACTCCCGGGTATGAGGATAGCACCCCGTGCGTTGTGCTAGGATACCACGGAGACCTTCATTTTCAGCCTCACAAAGCCCACGCAGACGGCCGCAACACTGACAAAGCGGGAGATCCTGAAGGACACTGCAATGGCCCGGTAGTTCAGGGATGACCTACGCATGGCAGTGGGGACTGAAGGAAGAAGTCCCTCTAGCTCCCTAAAATATCTCAAGATGATTGATAACAGCAGTCATAATAATACTAATCGTCCTTGCAGCAAGAAGAACCCAGCTTTGGTCACCTGGTCTAGACTGGGGTCGGGGTTTAGGGTTTGGAATCCCTGCTGCGAGAAGCCCTGCAGACATTTCCACTGGAACCTCAGAATGCATGTTTCTCTTAGCCGTGGGCCTGTCTGTATTAGCAAGGATGAAGACCCTATAGCCCTCATCCCTGGACCCTGAATCCGAACAGGCCAGAACTAAGGGTGCCCCTGAATCCCATGCTATGGCTACCCAAATTCTCGCCAGGACCAGGTCGTGGATTCTCGCCAGAAACAGCCTTCTTGGGTTGCTTTGGGACTTGTTTTGCTTCTTCGTTGCCACCCCCCATATAGTCAGCGACAGACTAAAACTCGATTTACGTATGGGCTAGGCCCAGGGATGCAGAGCTTCAAGATCTCATCGAAAAAGCAGAGGAGTCGGCAAAGCGTGTATTGGCGTATGCAGTCGTGGTAATCGCAGTATTCGGCCTATCCAATGCTTAGCCGGGACCCAGCGTTGAATAGCTGCGTCGTGTACAGGTGCACCCTTGCAACCTTTTTGTAGGCGTGACTTTGACACCCCAAACAGTAACCAAGCCCCACCCTACTAACAAATGAACCCCCTGACTGCATAGTAATGCATTGCGGGTACTCGCGGGAGGCCACAGTAGACCCACTCCTCATCCTTCACCCACGCATGTACGAATCTTTCGTGACCTCTGAAAACAAGCATCGCCACCGTCACGGGGCTCCGGGGCTCGTTATCATTTTGGGAAACATCATCCTGGCTTGTGGTGGTTGCGACTGAGAATGCAAGGACGACCATTCTGGCTTCTTTGTCTTGTCATAGCTAAGGAGTGCAAGTTCAAGGGCGAGTGGCTTGAAGCAACCGTTCTTGAAATCTCCACCTGGAGCGCAGATTCCGATGATGAGGACTTCTTGGGGACTGGACGGATATCTTTCACTGGGTTTCTGTCGCCCAGCATGAGATTCTTGGTGTTTGGTATTGATGATATTGGTCTATGAAGGGGAACTATTGGGTTCAAAGTTGAGCCATCCAATAAGCCTTTCGTGGAAAGTTTCCATGCGTCCCACAATGATACGGATGCATTTTCATGCATAGATTCAGGAAGGTGCTTGCCTTGTGGGGTCTTGCGCGCTGTGCTAGACACCTGCGCTCCGGAACTTGACGTTCAGAGGCCTTGGGCTAAAAAATGGTAATGAGGCGAAGGCAATGGAAGGGCCCGTGCTGCAAGCTTAGGAGGTTGTCAGAATTCTGCTGGTCACTATGATAACCACTTCTTTGGGGGGTAGAATTAGGCCTTAAGCTTTACAGAGTTTAGAGATTTGGGGCTTGGGGTTTCCATTTCGAGAAATCTGACGACTCTGTCAGGATGAGACAGATGGGCGCACAGTCAAAGTCCGGTTTACGCGAGACGGCGCTGAGTCCACAGTTTTGGCCCCTCTGCAGTATTGGGTTTGGATTTTCTCCAAGATGTTGTTCCTCTTTGGGGCGCTTTAGGGCTCAAGCATTTCTCGACTGTCAGATTGTATAGTCTAGGGACAATCTTGTCAGCACTTTGTGCATGACCGTAGAAAATTGACCCCTGCACGTAAATGGCAAACAC